CTTATCTGGTCAAAAGCATGATATATGGTGGGGAGATTGAAGTCATGCTTTGGTGGGGAGTAGAGGGGGACAGATTGTGCGTGTGAAAGAGAGCTGAACTTCATCTTTCATAGTGGACGCCCATCTAAAATAGGAAATATCTAAAACTGAAACATCAGTAGCAACCTAAGCAGGAGGGGGACAGATTGTGCGTGTGAAAGAGAGCTGAACTTCATCTTTCGTAGTGGACGCCCATCTAAAATAGGAAATATCTAAAACTGAAACATCAGTAGCAACCTAAGCATGTTTTTTTTTTAGAAAAATGGAGTAAAATTCCAAAACAATCCATTAAGAGAGTTGCAATTGGTTGCTTTTAGAGGCAGGTGGGGAGTAGGTATTATTGTTTGCAAAAATCTTATAGAATAATTTGTTCTTTTATTTCTTGATAAAAATTAAAAATAAAAATTTAAATTAACTTTAGATATAAGTTAAAAGCAAAGCAAAAGAAAGAAGGGGGGAAGGGAAAGGAGGTAGGAAGAGAAGAGAGAGGGGAAAAGGAGGAGGCAGGGAGGGCGAAAGATGGAAGATGAAAGACAGACAGTCTCTGCTCTGGCCAGGCCACCCCTTGCTTGTTCCAGGCACCATCCTTTCCAAGAATGAGCTCTCCTGGAAGAGCAGCCAGGAGCAGGGGGATCTGGGAGACCAGACACAGATTCGGGGTTCAGCCTGGGGGCAGGAGGGTGAGAGGAGTTGATGGTCTGTACACATTGGTTGAGTGAGTGGGTGAATACATGAACTTCTGTTTCTCCTAAGTCTTGCAGCTCATCAAGTCACAGAAGTTTCCTAACAAGTTGGTGATTTTGGTGGAAACAGAGAAGGAGAAAATCCTGCGGAAGGAATATGTTTTTGCCGACTCCAAAGTAAGTGACAATGAACTTCTTAGATGGGCCTAGAGGGGAGTGAGGGGACACATGTTTTTTGAGGCTTGCTGTGTGCCAGGGGGAACACACCATTAGCTCACTCAGTTTTCAGAACAACCCATCTCACGCCTGGGAAAGCTGCGCTCGCAGAGGTTAAGGTATGTGTGCCAGGTCCGCTGGGATTTGAGCAGCCTTTGTCTTGGGAGTGTGGATTCTTCCCACCTTACTGAGGGACTCCTTATCTCCTGCATCCCACCCAGCCCGACCCTGGTTGGGAGCTTCTCTGGGTTGGACATGGAAGCCCTTTGGGGCACCTCTGGATTTAAATCTGAGTGCTGACCAGTGCTCCCTGCCAAAGGGAGGACCTGCTGGACCAGCTGTTGGAGTAAGAGGGGCTGTGGGCCAGTGGGAGGACCCAGTGGGCTTCTGGACAGGCAGAGGCGGGGTGCTCTGGGACCTGACCCCTCACCTCAGAAATTCCAACCAGGGGCTGAAGCCCATGGTCACTGTTCACACTGGTACTGCACAGCTGGGACGAGGCAGTGAAAATGGATCACAGAACAATAGGGCGCCCTCATGTCAGTGCTGGTTGATGCCACATGTCAGGCACTGTGGCCAAGGCCAAGGCCCCTTGCCAAGTTCTTGGGCCCGGCTCCTAATCCCAACTGTGAAGGTAGGGTGGGTTGGTGGGAGGCTGGTGGGAGGTCTGGGGTGCCCAGAACTGGCAGGAATGCTAGGAAAAGGGCTGGGATAACAAGGGAATCGGTGCCAGACAGGTGGTGGCAGGTGGAGAGAAAGACCACTTGGCTGGACAACTTCTGGCACGTGGGCTTAGGTCCAAAAACCCTTTCTGCCCCATTGCTGTCAGCTCAGGAGGATTGTAACACCGTGATAAACTGAGGCTGAATCTTGAGCCACCCCCAACTAAAGGCAGATTTCAATAAAGACAGCCGTCATTATGTCTTTGTGAGCTGGTTTCTTCAGAGAGAACTTACTGAGATTTGTATTTATTAGGGTGAATCGTAAGAAATTACTGTCTTTGTAGGTCTGAAGCAGTCAAATATTGGTCATTTCATATGGTACAAACTGAAATTTTGTGGACCCTTGTGTAAAGTCAGCCTGCCCTATTGGCCCTTCGTGCCCCACTGTGTCCCCAGGAAAGATAAGTGAAAAATATTATGGAGGTTATGACAGCCTTCATGTGCCCTTAGTTTCTTTAATTTAAATTTTCTTTCATAATATTAGTAATCTATTCTCACTGGTAAAAAAGTAGCAACTGTAAATAAGCAAAAGTATACATTAGAAACACCCATGTCCTACTAGTTAACCTTGAACTATACTCTTCCAGATTTCTTGTTGTTGTTGGGGGTGGGGTGTCTGGCCGTTATACCAGATGTTTTTTAAAAACAAAAATGCAACAATGTCATTCATACTGTTTTGTTAACTGGTTGTGTGTATGTAATGATATATTGTTACTGTGGCCATCTCTCCTTGTTGATAAAGTATTTGTGTACCACAATTTTTAAACCCCACAGTATTCTAGCTTCTGCATGGTCCGTCATACAATTATTAATGAATCCCCTAAGATTGGACACGAGGGCTATTTCTGATTTTTTTTCTCTATTGAAACACGTGCCAAAGTGAGTGCCATGATCGCATTGGGTCTGTGTGCACTTCCTGATCATTTTCTCGGAGGCACATCCTTGCAGTGGGGAGACCGGGTCAGAGAAGTCCTTTGCTTGGGACTTCGGACTCATGCTTCCAGGTTGCTGTCCTGGGAGTTTGTTCTGGTTTGTGCTCCTGTCAGTTTTCTGGAAGCTGACTGGGTCCTTCCTAAAGTGGCATGTGCAGCGGGGGCAGAGGCCGTTCTGAGTGTCTGCCCTTCGCTCCCTAGAAGAGAGAAGGCTTCTGCCAGCTGCTGCAGCAGATGAAGAACAAGCACTCGGAGCAGCCAGAACCCGACATGATCACCATCTTCATCGGCACCTGGAACATGGGTAGGTCCAGGCGCCCCGCCGTTGTGTCACCTCCCCTGGGTTCTGCTTGCCTGCCTCAGACGTCCTCACATGGGCTGGGAGACACACCCAGCTCTCCTTCCTCCCCGCCCCAGGCTATGGTCCTTGGCCCATCTGCACAGCCTCCTTTCTGAGGAATTCTAGACTTTTCCTGAGACGAAGGGTGAGAAAAATGAACTCTAGGACTGTTGCACCCTAAGAGCAGCCAGAGTGGGTTGCTTTGCACGTCTGGATTGGACAGTTTTATGTAAAGAGTCGAAATATCTTATGTGAAGGAGCTCATGGGCACCCTGCCAGCCTTAGGCAGCTCACCAAGGGGCCCCAATACTGCAGGAAAGAAGCCCTGAGTAGGGGTGCCAGATATTTCCAGAGAGAGACTTACGTGGATAGAGGATGCCCAGTTAAATTTGAATTTCAGATAAACAACAAATATAAGTATTTAGCTAGACATAAATACTAAATCTATTTGCTGAATACATATTATGCCAAATATATATACTATATAGGCCAGATATTTCCAGAGAGAGACTTACGTGGATAGAGGATGCCCAGTTAAATTTGAATTTCAGATAAACAACAAATATAAGTATTTAACTAGACATAAATACTAAATCTATTTGCTGAATACATATTATGCCAAATATATATACTATATATACTAATATATTTTATATACCAAATATATAAATATACCAAGTATACATTATACTAAATAATTACTTAGTGTAAGTATTCAGCTTACACTAAGAATTGCTTCCTGCACTGGCCAGCTGCCAAAAAAATAAAAAGTATTCAGCTAGAAATAAATAAGCAGACAGAAGGTGCCCAGTTAAATCTGAATTTCAGATAAACAGCTGTGGCACGAGGCATTTTTTTTCTGAAAACTACCCGTTTATCTGAAATTTGAATGTACCTGGACACTTTGTGTCCCCTCCCTTTTGTCCTCAGCAGAGTCTCAGGCCCACCCGCTGACTTCCTAGCAGCCTCCAGGTGGAAGGGGTGAGCAGCAACCCTCCTTGGAGGGACAGAGGCCACCTGGAAATGAGCCAGTGGCATGTGGTTCATGTGGCCTGCCTGCTGACGGGGGTGGCTGGGGCTTCCAGGAGGGAAGGCTGAGGGTCTCAGCAACCTCTGCTGAACTCCCGACCCGGGTTCTGCAAGGTGCCAGCCCTCTCTGTGCCCGCACACCTCCCAGGCCTGCCAGCCCAAGCCCAGGCATCTCGGGGCCTCAACAGCACTGCAGTAGACCTGGCAGTGCCCCGGGGTCCCGAGTCCTCCCTTATCCCTTTCAGTGTCTCTTATTGGCCATCTCATGTCCTTAGCTCTCATTCGGAGGCTCATGCAGGTGGGCGCTCAGCCTTTCCAGTTTTTCCTCTATGAGCAGAAAGTTCTGGCTGGCCGTGGTCAGGGCTGTCCCATTGCACAACAGCAGGGGGCGCTCTTCCCACAGAAGCCACGTGGAAGGGGCTGTCAGGGTAGTGACCCGCCAGGCCCCGGTGCTCGTGCATCCATGGGAACCACTGGGGGAGC